GGACTTGGCGGAAAACTGGAGGAATGTAGCTTGTTTGTGTGACAACATCAATACGCACGCCACATATCCGGGGAGAAGCTTGGCCAAACACTAACATATGTGTAAGCGCCAATCTATTATTATTATGATTAGGAAAAAATATATAGCAAAAATGTGGTCTAACTATCCGATGGTCTAATCCGATAACCCCACATTGGACCTGCATTCCGATTCTAAAAAATCTGATATCGCCACCTCTAAACCACCCTTATAAAAAAGTTTTCGCCGAAAAGGAAAAAATTATAAAATTCTAACATAAGATTCGAAATCAGCGACCTCGAAAACACGCCACTTATATAAGTTTGTGATGAAAAGGAAAAAATGATACAATTTGGTCTCCGTATAGATCCGCCATTTTAAATTCCAAAAATCTGACATCGGATTCGAAACCATCCATAAAAAATAAAGTAGGTATAAAGAAGTGAATTGACGTATTCATACATTTTTTCAGTTTAGAAACCTTTATTAAAGCTACTTTATTTTTTATGAATAAGGCTTTTACACCGAATAAATAAAAAATCCTTTCCTATAAGAATTGTGTTCCTTTTAAATATATCATTGACAACACTAGGTATACAAGTATTTCAATGAGAGTAACTGGATTCCATTTCATTCCGCTCCACTCACGTTTGAGAAAAAGTTGAGAATTCAATATTTCTCAATTTGAAAATAAAGGAGAGTTTTATAATAAAAATGTGATCGCTGAAGGCGCATCGATGTGTGTGTACTGCAAAGTTATATTCAAACTAGAGATGGGCGCGTAAGTGATTTTCGCTGACGTTCACTCACGCTCACGTTGATGGTTTTGTAAAACATATATACTCACGATCTGTTATATTATTTTCAATCACGTTCACGCACGCTCACGATGCCAATTTTTTTAAGCACGCACGCTTTCTCACGGTACATTTTTTCAAATTGAAACTTTATTTATATGTACATTTTTTCAAATTGAAACTTTATTTATATATCACACTAGTATTGTTACAAAAGCTTAGCCGAACGCCTAGCAAGGGATGAACGTGCTACTATCTTTTTAATGTTTTTTAATTTCTTGTTTATAAAAATGTAGTACATTCTTTGACAAAAACCATATAAATCAAGTTTCAATCTTTTTGCAACATTAAAAAAAAATCAAAAAACTTTCGGAAAAATTTCGAGGTTTTTAATTCCGATTTTTTTAGAAATATTTTGAGTATGCAGGTTCGTAGCTCATTCAATTTAAGTATAATAAAGTGCAAGTTGAAAGCAGCTCCGACTTGCCGTTGATATATGGGCATTTTTTTTTTTGTTGAAGGTGTTGCTCATTTACTCCATATCAGTCGAGGTTTTCACCAAGCAATCATGTATGTATGTATGTCTTTCTTCTAGAATTCTGCTTAACGCAGAAAAAAACGTGCCTTGAAAGACTTTTAATAAGTGGCAAATCTTAAGCTTTCTCTCAAAAATTTTAAAGCATTCACAACTTTGTTTTCCTGTATTTATTAAGTAAATCTGTATTTCCGCATTAATGTCTTAAGTTTAGGTGACAAATACACATATTTATGTGAATAGGACGTGACTGACGGGAAATCTAACTCAAATCTAACATTTCAGTCACGCACGGTCACGGGAATTACGTGAGTTTTCTCTGAAAACTACTCACGATCACGCGTTAAAAAGCCCATCTCTAATTCAAACGTTTCGTTTCGTTATTTCAGGTAAATTTTGCTCTTCTAGGGGAATCTGAATCAGCAGCCGGTTTCCAGCATTCGCTGTTGCTAATTTCGATCGCTAAAAATCTCTAAAAGAATAGCAGGCGCGCCTAACAACATGCAACACCTAGTAACATGCCCTGGAAATTTAGTGTGGCGATTGTCAGAATTCCACTGCAGAAGGTCTGAAAACTCTAGCCATTCCATACAAAATGACAAGAGTAAAGAATGGAGCGCGTAAGGCCTATCGCTTCAAAAGATCCGAAATAAGGGCTCCTAGAAGGCCTCTTTTTTCTAATTTTACAGACTTGGTATTTCTCTACAACAGAAATAATTAACACATCCATATGTATGTATAACACAAGTGTCTTTCTTTTCCAATTTGCCATCTCGTCTACATTCGAACTCCACAAACTATATACATATGTACGTCTGAATTTCCTTTCCAATGTCAACAGGCAACTGCAAGTAACAACCTTCATGAAAACGTGAATATGCCAATCAGGCGAAAGTCATACATATATGTACATATGTATACTCGAAACAAATTCACGACTCGAGGTGAACAAGCATTTGTCACGTTCACGTGTCTTATGGTCTTTATTTTTATTTCTTTTATACTTTATATGTATATATGTACATACATACATATGTACATATATGTCTAGTGAATTTTTTTCTTTGTTTTTGTTATGTCTGTGCATCGAGCTTATATCCATTCCGTCACACGCCAAATGCGGTATATTGAGTCGATAGCATGTGAGTAAGATCCGGGAAGGCAAAATTTGTAGCAAGTGTTAGTTTTAGGTATGTATGTATGTGCACAACAGTGGTTCCCTTACATGTATGTATGTATACTTATATGTAAGTACGAGGTTACCTGCACAAAATGTGTTAATGTACATGCATTCATACATACATATGTATGTACATACCTGTTTATATTCACACGCTAGAGGCACATGGTGTAAAATGCTCTATCCTATAGCAAGACAGAAGCCGCTGGAGTCATTATAACTAGTCCCTCTCACGCGATCACTTCAGATAACATACTAGTTATATACACAAACATACATATGTACCTATGTGCCAGAGAAAAATGCGCACAAACGATAACCAAAACCGTCATTAGTAAAAAAATGATGATATTTAAAGCAAATAAACGTGCAAAAATACTTGAATATACATACATATCGACGGTAATTTGGTGCTTACCTCAGAAATCACAACTACTCCGTATCTCGTAAAAATTAACTCAAAAAAGGCCTTAGAATACTATGATTCTTTATATTTTATTCTTAATTAACTATAAAGTACTAAATCTCAAATATTAAAAATAATTTTTTGTTATTAATAGTTTTTTGTTAGAGTGTTTTGAGATACGTGGTTTTGCCAAAGTACCGTCGATATGTACATATGTACATGCTGAATTATAAATACTAGTCTTTAGCGAAAGTACTTAAATACAGTCTGCTTTAAAATAAATTAGTTACGAATTATGATGTTGATATGCACGTGTACAAATATTTGGCTCTCTTTGGCGAAGTTCGCCTAAACAATAATTCATATGAAGAGAAGACAGTTTATTCAGGTTTGAAGTACCTAGAACTTACCGTTGATTATTGGAAATTTTATTAGTTGACATTTTCTTCCATAAATAAAAATCCAAAAAACAGCTACCTAAACCTCACACTTCATTATTCTAAAGTTGAATGGGCTACAAAACTGCCTACTGCGCTGCCCATCACCGGTCTAAAATGGATCTTCTTTCGGCATAAGTATGTATGATTCTGTGACCAATCAACTAGACTGACTCATTTCGGACTCTTTTGTTATCATAAATTCTGAGTTGAACAAAAGTAAAAAAGTTCACGGACAAGTAATAATTTATTATTATTCTTAAGTTATTTTCCCAAGATATTTTCATTACAGGCTTGCATGGTGAATGAAATAAAAATTCAAACCTTAAAAGTAAAAACAGAATCAAATCGCTCAGAGAAATTCGTCGGAAGAAAGTTCGCAGCCAAAATTAAAACACACTGCAGTTTATGAGATTTCCCACAACCAAAGCGACGACGAAGTTTGTCTGACGAAATTCGGTAAGAATGGATTTATTTTTAATTTTGCCGCTGCCGCCGATCATAAAATCAGCTCTCAGTGGAAAAGTAGCTTTGTTTCCTCATTTTTCTAGCAGATAATCATCAGCAATAATCAGAATGGCAAAATTTGGTGATTCATCTTTTCGGTTTTGTATTTTTATATTTTTTGTTTGTCATTCAATTGATACGAATTTCGTATCTGTTCTGTTTTACTGGGCGAAATGTTGCGGCGAACATCACCCAGCGGCATCGCTCCGATCGGCGAAATTCGCACAGCGATTTGGTTCTGTTTATACTTTAACAGGGAAAAATTTTCATACTCACTCCTCCATGGCGAATGAGTAACATTCTTTAATACTCATGTTCCATACAAAAAAAAATTGTTACGCATTCTCATTTGACCATCCACTTCTTTATTTATCCAACGATTTTCTTCGTTAGTAGTTTGATTTCTGTTATTTTCTTAATAAAGTTAAAGATTGATTTTTTAATTTTTTTTATCCCGAAAAATAGAATACAGATTTGTAATCTACAGCTCAAATTTAACGGAATATTTTCTGACTTTTTTGAGCTCATCATGAGGGTTACAATTCACAATTCAGACACTTTTCTGACTCTAAAATGAGTCCAAATGTTTACAGGAATGCATTTACATATATATGTATGCATGTTTGTATGCATAACCATAAGTATGTAGACAGGTATAGGTTCTCAAATCCATCTCTAAAACTTTGTAGAAAACTATAAAATTGCAACAAATTTTCATTAAACTTAAAAAAAAATTTTTCACAGAAGTAATCTTTGACCACTTGAACTTTAAATTTCTATTACCAGCCCAGCAAACACAGTCTCTAACGTTAGAGAAATATTTTGATTTTAAATTAAAATTCTAATGTAGCTCTCGAATCGAATTAGAATGTTAGAATTCGTTTACAGAATGATTACAAACAAAACCAATTTAAATTCAACGTTGGAATACGATTAGATATCTAACCTCTTTCCCTATATTGAGAACTAAGTTCCCTTTTATTAGAGAATGCTATAATTCTCGACAGTTTCTTTAATCACCTTCTAACCTTCTACCTTAGAGAAACACATTGGAATTCTAATCGTTTTTAATCGTTCTCTAACCTAAATGTTTGTTGGAACAAATGTAAAAAAAAAAACGTTTTAAAATTTCGACTTTTTCATTTTATTTTTGAGTTTTTTGTTATACAAATGTCACGTCACGTCAGATTGAAAATGCCCATATGTATGGATAAACGGAATGCCGCATTATACTAAAGCCAGCCTTTCGATATGAGCTACTATTTCACAGAGCTGGGCGATAAGGATTACGATTACGAAACGATTAGGATTGCAGTAATCCCAAAAAGCTAGAAAACCAGATTAAGATTACAGTAATCCTTCATCGAACGAACTTAGATTACGATTACAGTAATCGTAATTTAAAAAAAGTTAACATTACGATTACTGTAATCGTAATCCAAGTTCGTTCGATGAACGATTACTTTAATTGTAATCCTGTATTGTTTATTTGCCGGTTATACAAAGTTTATTTCACACACACTACTTTACTTATTATTTTATTTGAATATTGGTTCCTTTTATTTGCCTGTTTTTTTAGATAAATACATATTATCCTCATATTATCGATAAGCGCGCGTTAATATTTCGCAAATTTATAGAATTACTTCGTTTAAGATTACTCAAAAGGTTCTAATTAGAAAAATTGTAAATTTAAAATTATTGTAATCATTCAACGAACGACCTTAGATTACGATTACAGTAATTGTAATTTTAAAATGGTTGAAATTACGATTACTGTAATCGTAACCTAAGATGCCTTCGATGAACGATTACCGCAATCCTAATTTAATAATTTTTGAAATTGCGATTAAAGTAATCGTAATCCTAGATGCAATCGGTTACACATGTAATCCTTATCGCCCAGCTCTGCTATTTCATATGAACACAGATATGTATTTATTTTATTTTTTTTAGTTAAAACGAAAATTATCAAATAAAATATTAAAGATAAAATAGTCTATCGGAAAGCTCTTCCGATGTTGCCCTTCGTATGCTTTGGCCGATTAAATACGCCATTTTGTGCGCGTATTGACAGCATGCAGGTATTCGAATAGTTCCTGGCCAATTGTAGTACATAAAGCAGAGTTTATATGTCAATCTTTGTATAATATCAGGACTATATTTGGCATCGTCTCTTAGCACTATGTAATGTGCTGGCGTCACGGTGCCCTGACGTACTGTCTGCGATACCAAATAAAAGTCGTACATCTTTGAACGTGTTATGACATTATCTACGACTGTGCCCGGTGGTGGATTGTCGACATTAGATCCATTCGTAGAAAAATATCTCGTATTTATACGTTTCTGTACAACAATAAAGGTTATTTTGACAGCATAATCCTTGAAAGCGCGCTTGCAAGCCGCCTCCAGTTGTGGTATCTCGTGGCCGGAACAAAGCGGCAATTGACCATCGCCAACACCATCTCGATAAATGATTATGTTATCAGGAAAAACTCCATTCTCTCGATGGAAACGTGTTACCGCAGCAGTAAATGACGAACAAAGGCCATTCACAATTTCCTCTCGCTTGCCCTGTATGACAGCTTTGCTGTACCATTTAGTGTAATTTTGATTCAAAGAGGCTACAAAAGCAGCGACAGAGTTGCCTTTTTGTGCTGCATCATGATAAGAGTCGATTCCACAGATCATAACATTCTTGAATGGAATTTTTACAGCCCACAATGATCCGCCAAGTTTGCAGTTCATTTGCAACATGATCTTCTGCACGATCGAACGATTTTTAGCCTCATTCAGTAAAGTTCGCGCGTTAATTACCTGCGATGGTATTGGTATTTCAGCGCAGCAAACTTTCTTAATTGCAGCGTAGCGATCATCACGATTTGTCGGACTAATGCACACAACTATTTGTGTTTGCCCATCAATATTTGTTCTCAAAGCTTTTACGTAAGTGTCCACTCTATCGTTATCCAAAATAACTATTTTCGGCTTATCCACCCTTATTCCTAAAGCACGAGAATTGCGATCCACATGTTCGTAAAAGTTTTTGGCGCATCGCGAGTCAGTTTTGCAATGGAATAAAATCCAATTGCTAAGGTGCACAACTTCCAAAACCTCATTGTTTCCAACATATTTAGAAAAATCTGCATTTATACCAGCCCCAAATTGCTTTTTACCCAACATGATTTTTTCTTCCTCAAATTGCCGACCATTTAAATACTCATGTGCATTCTTCAAGGTTAAACCCCAACACTCAAGTATTTTTTGAGCTTCTGGACAACTGTTTACGTTTTTGAAAAACTTCTCCAAAGCGAGTAATCTTTGGTTTGGCGAGACTCGGGTAAATGTAGCAATCTCACGCATTAGCTTATAGTCCGAACGTATATCATCACGCAAGCCCGTCAGGTAGCATAGTTCCGGAATAAGACAAACAACTAAATCTTCCGCAGCTTGCTTATCAGCAGTCTTTTGTTTTTTGATACTGATTATTAGGGGCTGAGTTTCATCTTTAATCAAAATATTATGACTTTGCTTGTAATAGTCGATATATGATACTTCAGCTTGTTTGGTTTGAAAAGTAGCTTTTGGGTTTTTCTCAAAACAAATATCGTCGATTCTGTACGTTCGGTTATTGTACCGTGTTATAACAACGGAACCCAATAAATACTTTTTGGCATTTTCCTGAAACATGTTGGGATTAGAGCGATAAATTTCTACTAATGTTTCGAGAACAGTCTTTTGGCATAAAAGGCGATGGGATACATCACAGCACAGCATCAAACCGCCTTCGTATTCATCAATTGCGGTTACATAGCCAGGCCATACCTCCAATTTTGCCTGTGGAATGACCTTCGGAGCAGTTGGATCGAATTGCTTTCGATCGAAACGCACATAATTCAAAGTTTTCATAACTCTATCGAACAGCACATTGTATAGATGTATGCAGTTCTTGAGCGCTTCTTTGCGTTTGAATAAGATTCTTATTTCAATGTCGGAATTGTCTGCGACATTTTTGCTGAGAAAAGTTGTTAGTTTATCTTTAAGTAAAATTGGCAGATATAAAGTTACTCCATCAAATGTCTTAGTGCCGCCAAATTTATCACGATGTTCATTCAGGTACTTCATACGTAAACTAAGCGAATCTACTGGGGGATGGAATCGCACTTCATAGACAAACACACCTTTTTCGGGATCAGATGACAAACGTATGTAATTACATGCCAAACGTACTGGCATACCTTTGTTGCCGTGTTTCAATTCTGGATTATAAATATCGGCCTGAATTACCTCTTTCTCAGGCTCCGGTTCAGGCACAGGCATTGGAACAGGAGCGCGAATGGGAACGGGAACGGAAACGGGAACGGGAGCGGGCTGAGTATCCAACTTAGGCTCTGCTGGCTCATCAGTAAATAAAGTTTTGAAAACATTGGCACGACCGCGACCCCCCCCCAAACAGGGAAGCTTTATTCGAATCAGTTGTAGATGTAATATTTCCTTGATTGGTATCGTCAGACGAACGACCCTCAAGTGTCATATTGGTGCATGATGAAGCCAAATCATCTAGCAGCCTGCCACGACCGACACGACGATACTCTCCACCGGAATTCAAACTTTTACTGCCTAAGCCACTATCCTTTAGAGATGAATCTCCATCAGTGGAATCTTTCTCTGTTTTGAGGGATAAAAGAAATCCGCGACCGCGTGCTGCCATTGCTGTAGAAATAAGATTGAAAATAAAAAGAAAAACACCGTTTATAATTAGCATATTCACTGAGTTATCTCTTTATATGCAGAGATGCTAATCTTTCGTTTCATAGCTACATATCGTCACCTTAATTCACATAGGCCCTATCCAACTCTTTTTTTGAAACTACGTTTTTCACACATTTTAGTAGGGCATATTAAAATATACCTCCAAAAATTTTGAAGTGTGGGTATCAAAAACAAGGGACTTATGACATTTTCTAATAGTACGGGGGCCAGCAGCGTCTTGGAAACCAGAATTTTAAGTCAGCTGGTTTTTTGATATGACATCTCTCTCACTCGCTCGGTTAGCGTGGGGCCATCTGGTAGGAGGTAAAGGTTGCGTTGACTAGTGCGCACCGTATCTTTACAGTCAAGAATGCTAAATTTTTAGTTAATTCTAGTATGTGTGAATTTCTTTTCATTGGCTTTAATTAGCTTTCAGAAACATAGATTTATCATTGCCGGACATGTTAAAGGTTGCTAAGATTGTGCAAGACGTCTTAATAAAAAAAATTCTAATAATTTTAGTGAAGCTCAAAATTTAATATGATGTGTTTTAAGTACTAATGAATCCAAAATTGATTTTCCAGATAATGGCTGCATTTCTTTATTCATTCTGAACGTTTGGAATAAACTTTTTTGTTTACTTATTCTTTAGAACGTTCCTGATGATATGTAAACGTATATTTCAATGGCATTCTGTTTATTCTGGTTGTGAAATGGATTTATCCGGAATGTATAAAGAAACGCAGCCAATAATTCGGTTGCTAAAGCAAGAGCCGGAGCGATTTAAAGCCTAAAAGAATCAAAGTACAAACAGACGACAGCGTTGATCCGGATCAACTCGGGAATTAACTGCAGTTGATCTGGACTAAGTCCGAGTTAAGCCGAAATAACGCTGCCGTCTGTTTAAGCTTTTACGCTGGTAGGTAGAGAGATAGTAGCGAAATAGTGAATTTTCAGAGGATTTTAGTATGAAAACTTTAAACTATAACTACTTATCTAACGTTATAATATAAGACTAATTATTGGAATATCAAAACTTATATTTTTTATTTAAAATACATATGTTAAGGCAAATAAGAATTAAACACCTTTCAAAAAACATCAACTTATATATTGTCGGAAAGAACCAACAAAAGCAAGCGAAAAACACAAACATTTTGATATTTATAACTGTCATAAAAAACCTGGCTTACAACAAAAATGCGCACCGGATGCTACTATCCAATTCCTATGCAGAATCTCTTGCTGATTACGAAAATCGAGTAATTTTCCATAAATAAGTTTTCGAAATATTTGCAATGTACCGTGTTTCAGCTTAAAACAAGTAAGAGCAGCGCTGTCTTCGGCTATGCCGAAGGCTTCATACCTTTCATGAACATCTGCAAATTTTACTTTGACAGATTACTGCTTTTGAATACATCTGCATACATCGATAGAGGAGTTACATACTTATATAAAAAATGGCATCTAAACAATCAGAGGTATGGAAGATATACTTTATATGACACCAATCTAAGTGATTTTCACCGCTATGTGATCGGTATGTAAACCGGTAACACAATTTATTGGGTTTAGTTTCCTACATAAAGGAGATATATCGCAAAAACTGGTATCTGAACAATCAGTGCTATAGGAGATAAAGCTTATACAGCATAGATTACATATATACATAATGTTGACTTAGTAGTGCGAGATATGCAAGAGAGTGTTAATAAAAATAGTGTGTACCTAAAAGAATATAAAAATGAATTTGATCGGGCAATACAAGCCAGCAAGAGAGAGTTAAAAGACCTTATGAAAGCGATGGAAGACAAATATAATGAGAGGTTAGCAACCCTAAAAATGCACCAAGAAATGTACTTAAAAAATGCTGCAGAAATTAATAAAGTGCGAGAGGTAGCGGAGCAAATGGTAAAACAAGTTGAAGTAGTGGGAAATGAAAATGAGAAATTATGTAGCGAAATAAAAACAATAGCGAAGAATAAAAGCAGTGTGACGCAACAGCAAAAATCATATGCAAATGTGTTGAAAATGAGTGATAACACACAAACAACTAGGGAGGTGCCGGAATTTAAGAAACGCACTCCTATCATTGTGAAACCGAAAGCGAAACAAACGAGTGAAAAAACAAAACAAGATTTAAATAATAAAATTAACCCTAATCACCTAAAAATAACTGATATCAAAGCTGGCCAAAATGGTGTTATGGTGATTGACAGTATAGATGAAAGTGAAAGAGAGAAAATCAAAGAAATTATGGACAAACAAATGAGTGATAAATACGAAATAAAGATCCCAAGGGACTATAAACCAAGATTATTTATAACTGATATGCACTTTGAAAAAAATAGTGATGAATTGATAGAATGTTTAAAGAACCAAAACAAATGCCTAGAGCAAGGCGAAATAAAAGTTATTAAACAATATAGTGTCAAAAATAACACCAAAACCTATTATAACGCAATTGTAGAGGTGGATGAGTGTATGTTTACTAGCGTTATGAAGTTAGATAAGCTAAACATAGGATGGGAAAGATGCAGATTTTACGATGGTGTTAACGTGACAACGTGTTTTAAATGCAAAGGATACAATCATAAAGCGACCGATTGTAAAAGTGAAGAAGTGTGCAGTAAATGTCTGGGAAAACACAAAACCACGGAGTGTAATGAAACTCCTAAAAACAAGTGTATAAAACAGCATAAAGGCTAATGAAAAATTGAACTTAGGGCTAGACGAAAATCACTTATGTAATAGCCGAGATTGTCCAGTCTATTTAAAGCACTTAAGTGCAAAAAAGCATAGGCTTGGTTATTAGCAACTAACACACCACTCAGAAGTTGTAGATCAACATGAGGAATATATTCCCGCAAAAGTTAACCGCAAAAGCAAGTCTGCAAATGCTGCTAACAGTGTATTAAAATGTATTTACTTAAATATTAATAGCATAGTTTCGAATAAAAGTGAATTGGAAGTGATGGCGGAAGTTCATAAGCCGGCGATCATATTATGCTCTGAAACGTGTACAACAAAAGATATTGAAGATAAAGAATTGGAAATAGCAACTTTTAACATGATAAGATGTGATTCCCACAGCAGGCACACTGGCGGAGTACTAATATACGTACATAGAGAAATAAACTTTAATATAATATACAATGATAGTGTTAACATGAACTTGTGGTGTATTGTAATAAAATTGAAAAAACTGGGTAAAAAGTGGCAAATAGGGGTGCTCTATCACTCGCCAAGCACAAGTGATGCAGCTTTCTTAGACTATTTAAATGAAATATTAATTGATAAATATGAAAAAAGTAACCACAATATAATAGTTGGTGATTTTAATATTAACATGAATCATATATCAACATATAGTACAAGACTGAATGAAATATTTTCGGTGATGGGTATGGCTCAAAAAGTGGATTTTAATACACGAATTACGGATACAACTGAATCTAAAATTGATCTCGTATATTCAAATTCAGAAGAAATAAAGTGTAAATCTTTGCAAGCATACAAAATTTCCGATCATGAAACTATAATGTTCAATGTTCCATCATCTAAATCTTATAAGATGAGAGTGTCCAAGAAAATTATTGCTTGGGATAAATATAGTAATGACAGTTTATTAAACCTACTAAGGACTTTTAATTTTAATATCGATGAAAACGCATTAATTGATGATAAAGTTGAACTAGTGAACCACATTTTAACGCAAGCAATGGAAAATTTAACTTATGAAAAAGAAGTACATATAAAATTAATGAATAAGTGGTACGATAGAGAGCTTGCACAATTAAATAAACATAAATTTTATTTATATACATGTGCTATACAGACAGGATTGTGGGATGAATACAAAAATATTAATAAAATGTATAAAAACCTGGTTAAAATAAAGAAAATTAAATACATGGAAAATAAAGTCATAATGAATGAAAACAACGCCAAAGAAATGTGGAAGTACCTTAAATCCACGGTCTGCTTGGCGCGTGATAAGGAAGGTATTAATAAAGCGGTAATCGATGGTATATTGGTAGAAGATGATCTTGCTTTGGCAAATGGACTTAACAAGTTTTTTATAAATAGTGTGATAGAAATAAATAATATTATAGAATATTTCGATATAACACTAAGTGGTAGTCACGCCAATTCCGAATTTAAGTTTGCAAAAATTACAACCGATGAAGTTATAAAAATCCTGCAAGATTTTAAATACAAAATAGGCGGTAGAAAAATTCTGTCTGACGGTGTAATAAAAGACTCTATAATGTATACAGGGTATTTCTACGCCCAAATAATAAATAGCAGTTTGGAAGATGGTATTGTACCAGAAAAGTGGAAAATGTCAACGGTGATCCCAGTTGAAAAAGTCAAAAAGACAATACAACCAGAAGAGCTCAGACCCATAAATACCATACCAAGTGATGCTAAAATTCTTGAGGTGTATGTTAAGAATCAATTGGTAAAACATCTAGATTCAAACAAAATACTTGTCAGTCAACAGTCGGGTTTTAGGAAAAAACATTCGTGCGAAACAGCTCTTAACTTTGTGATATCGGAGTGGAAAGACGACCTAAATAATAAGAAAGTGGTGGTTGCTGTCTTTCTTGACCTTAAAAGAGCCTTCGAAACGGTAGACAGGGAAATACTTATCAAAAAGCTTCAACAAATCGGTATTAAAGACATAGAGCTTGCGTGGTTTCGCAGTTATTTAAAGCATAGGAAACAGCGAACAGTTATAAAAACAGCGATATCGGACGAATTGGAAGTGCCCATAGGCTTACCACAAGGCTCGGTGCTAGCACCAATACTGTTCCTCATATATATAAATGATATAATAAATGTAATACAAGACTGTGAGATCAAACTATTTGCAGATGATGCATTACTTATGATCAGTGATGATAATATTACTACTGCGGTAACAAAAATGCAAAATGATCTTAATAACTTATACACATGGCTATGCGCGAATAGGCTAAAGCTTAACATAAATAAAACGAAATATATGGTGATAACTAGGAAAAATATTAATGATGAAGACTTAAGTGGGCTAAAAATAAATAATGAAAGCATACAAAAAGTTAATAGCATAAAATATTTAGGAATTATAATTGATAACAAACTTAAATTTGAAGAACATATAAACTACATAGTGGAGAAAGTCGCGAAAAAGATTGGGGTTGTGCAGAGAACTACCAAGTATATACAAGAAAAATATAAAATAATTATTTATAAATCGGTCATTGAACCACACTTTGTGTATTGCCCATCGATCCTATTCATAATAGCAGACAAAGAAATTGATAAACTACAAAAGCTTCAAAACAGATGCATGAGGTTTATTCTTAAAAAACGTAGAGATGCTAGAACGGGTGATATGTTAAAAAAGTTGAACTGGTTGAGTGTCAAACAAAAAATTTACTTTCACACCATGAAGTTGATATTTAATATAAAACATGGAAATGTACCTGAGTATTTAAGTAACAACGTAGTTTTAGTGGAGCAAACACACAATATAAATACTAGGAATAGACATAATTTCAAATTGCCATTGTTTCGAACAGAAATAGATAAGCAAAATATTTTCTACAAAGGCCTAAAAGGCTACAACGAGCTCCCATTGGAAATTAAAAACTGCAATGAAATCTTAGTTTTTAAGGCAAAATTATATGAATTTTGTAAAACTTTACCTATAAGATAGGATAGTGTAAATTGTATTTTGAATTAGGCTTTGAGCCGTAATAAATAAATAAATAAATAAATAAATAAATAAATAGATTTTGACGATTTTCTCAGTAGACTTTGTATTATTATTTATAAAATATCTTACGAAATTTTTCGGTTTTAGCTATTCAAATAAAGAAGTTTTACAGTAAAATCCCATATCTGAACAATCAGATGTATGGAAGATATATGTTGTAGTCATCCGATCCTTGTTATTTTCACTGTAAGTATTCTGTTAATAATGAGTGAAAATGGTGCGAAATTTCATGTTCCTAGCTGCATAAATGGAGGAGTTATGATAAAAGACCTCATATCTGAACAATCAGTTGTATGGGGGCTGCAGGTTATAGTGACCCGATCTTTATTATTTTCGAGGTAAGTCTTCTGTTGATAATGAGTGAAAACAGCGCGAAATTTCATGGTCCTAGCTACATAAATGGATGAATTATAACGAAAAATCTCATATCTGAACAATCAGTTGTATGGGAGCTATAGGTTATAGTTACCCGATCTTTTTAATTTTCACTGTAAGTTTTCTGTAGATAATTATTGAAAACAGTGCGGAATTTCATGTTCCTAGCTATATAAATGGAGGAGTTATAACGCAAAATTTTATATCTGAACAATCCGTTGTATGGGAGCTATAGGTTATAGTGACCCGATCTTTGTAATTTTCACTATAAGTATTCTGTTGATAATGGGTGCAAGTATTGCAAAATTTCATGTTCGTAGCTGCATAAATGGCGAAGTTATAATGAAAAATCTCATATCTGAACAATCAGTTGTATGGGAGCTATATGTTATAGTGGTCCGATTCTTCCGGTTCCGACAAATGATTAATACATTATAAAAATACACCCACCTACCAAATTTCATCCGGATATCTCGAAAACTGAGAGACTAGATTGCATACAAACAGACAGACAGACGGACAGACGGACAGACGGACATGGCTAAATCAACTCAGCTCGACGTTCTGATCATATAAGTATACATTTTCATGGGTCTATCTCTTTTTGTTCTGGTACTTACAAACATCGGACCAAAGTTATAATACCATTTCATGCTCATGAAAGGTATAAAAAGCGGTTGCAGTTAATCACGTATGTATATCTTATACGAAATGTAGCAAATGAAAGGCGGAAAAACTCCTCATACTTTTGTACTTAATTAAGGTAAATGAAATTACGTACAGACGTACATACATACATCACATAGCATCTCGCAGTGCAGACACGAACCAAAACCAATTTAGCTCTTTATCTTTCCAACTAGTGTTCCGGTATCGTTGGAATAACACTGAATATGTCGGGTGTACCCAAATACCCCCTTAAACCGGTAAAAGCAAAAAAACATTTTTTGTTTGGCAACACTTTAGCCTAATTTTTAAGAATCCGGGTAATCGTTTATGAAGCTTGAATACATTTTCTGGATACACTCTGCATGACCTCTCCACCGATACCACAAACATGTCGATTAACATCTGGATAAAAACTTCCAAATCTCGTGTATATATAAGCGAGTCCTTTCCAGCCACCTATCGGGTCCATTTTTCGCAGGTATATTTCGAACAAAAGAGCAATCATTCAAATCGGTTGAGAAACATAAGAGCAGTAGGGAGGAATAGATTTGTATGGGATTTCGTTAGCATATTAATATATAGATTTTTAATATTCCCATAATTAGTTTTATATTATAACGTTAGATAAGTAGTTATAGTTATAGTCATTAGTATTTAAACAACATCATATTCAATTTTGAGCTTTACTAAAATGATAAAAAATAAAAATAAAAAATTATGTCTGGCACAATGTTAGCGACAATGGACATGTCAGGCAATAATAAATCTATGCTTTTTAAGCTAGTTAAAGCCAATGAGAAGAAAATGGCCCTTACTAAAATGAGTTAAAAAAACTGTATTTTTAACTGTAAAGAAACGGTGCGCACTAGTCAGCGCAACCTTTACCGCCTGCCAGATGGCCCCACGCTAACCGAGGGAGTGAGAGAGATCTCATTTGAAAACACCAGCTGAACTTAAATTCTCTATCGAAAATGTTGCTAGCTCTTAGACTGTAAAAGGCATATCTGCAGTGTTTCGTTTATTTGTTATACTGTTTTTTGCTTCTTCTGTAAAATAGAAAATTTGCTGGTTAGCGCCTTTGTGAATTAGGGTAACGATATGTATGTATGTACATATGTAGAAAAGTTAACAAAACAAAATTATAGTACTTTAATGTTAAACCAAATAAATCAAATTTTTAAACGTTACCAGCTTACTGTTTAGGCGACTTCCTACACTTAGCGCCTAAATTCCCTCGACGTTAGCGAAAGGATTTATTTTATGTTAAAAAAGCAAACATAATTTTTTTGAAAATTTCCTAAATGCAACAATCTGAGTACTATAAATGTTAAAATTAACGCTATTATGAAGGCTGACAATTTTGTCAGGATTTTTTGACTATCCGGATACTCGTATTTCTTAATAAAAAATTTTAATAGATAGTGTAGTTTTATTCGATTTTCCGAATCTAAAAATCAAGAATAGTTTGTTTTGTTTATTTTGCAGCTTCTGTAATTTTGAAAACAATTTTACGAATCCGTTCAAATACTGTTTAGAACATCCGGAACAGATTTCCAGTTTTTATCCATACACATGAAACGCTGAACGGATAACCAGATATCCGAATACATGGATAGTCCTAGACTTATGGTGATTTCGTTTCTACCAAAAAATGTCGGTTTTTGATTGCCCCTTTCTCTTTTCGTGTTCGATTCTAAATTTAAGGCAAAGGGATTTAGTGTTCGTTTCTTAAAATGTTACACTCTTTTAAGGTAAAAAAGGCACATTCTTTGCCCTTTGAAGCTTTTCCAGGGGAGATGGCTGCCCTGAAGATTAGTTGCTTGTTTAAAACATGGCTTCGGAGCAAAGGGTTTTTTTCATCGCTCCACTCTAGCTCCGCTCCGGTATTTTAGTTTGATCCGAGCTCCGCTCTTTCTCCACTCCCGCACCCAAAACCACTTTTTAATTTATTCATTTACATATCGAGCCCTAACCGCTAAAAAACGTAGGCCACATTTTTTGAAAATTTTCTTTTTGATGCAGAAATGCATCTATATATACATATGTATACACTTCTGCACCCAAAAATAATAATTTAAGTATATTTATTAATTGATTTTTTTTTTTTAATTTTTATTGAGCTTGAGGTCGTTGTTTTTGAAATTTTTTGCGGAAAAAGAAAAATAAAAATTTTTCAAAGAAATTGTTACGACGCTAGAAAATAACAAAAACAAAATATAGAATTTTTTTAAGGCGCTAAGGAGCAAACTATTTTTTTAGCTCTTTGCTCCAGCTCCGCTCCAGCTAAAATCCTTTGCTCCGCTCCGCTTCGAAGCCCTAGTTTAAAACAATAAAATGTGTGAGGTAAACAACGTCAAGAAGGCAAAAGCATGCCCTTTGACAGGGTTGAGTGTAACATCAAAAACATTTTTTACCGGAGAAGGGTAATATTTTTTGGAAGAAACGAAATCACCATTAGTTACAATGCCCCTTTGCTGGATGCCATGCCATTTTTTACACAATGAAAGGAAAATATTTGATATGTTAAGTACTCACCTTCTCAGAGGTTTAATTCAATTCGCAAAATTAGAAATTTTCGTTTAAAGATGTTTTCGGTAGCAATTCCAAGGTTTTCTAAAATTTAAGTAAAATAAAGATATATACAATGTGATTTCAATGTCAATTTTAACAGCAAATTAAATGGAAAATGATTTCTTGTTTTCTGTCATTTCCATGAAAAATTCAGAAAATTAAAATCATTTTTCACGTAAATTGCCTTCGTGAAATTGGCTGTAAATTTTTTTTTATCTAGACTGACTAGGCGAATTTATATAAGGTGATAGCAGCAGTACAAAAACAAAAACTTACATGTATTTTGTTTTTGCTTTGGCGGCATAAACCGTCAAAATCTGTAAGAGTGCGTGTGGAAATTCAAACAAAATTTTTCAATTTGACATAAGAAGCCGTGAGGCGAAACACATACACAAAATCAGCTGATCTAGTAACACCACCTTATATAAATTCGCCTTGCAGTCTAGCATAAAATTTCCCTTCGCATACGATTACGAAATTGGAATATAAGAAAGTAGAACCGTTTTTGGTATATAGCCAAGTTTCGGGTTTTTGAGATCTGAAAGAAGTGCACTCACTTAATTGCAATTTTCTTTGGATATAGTTGGCCAATCTTAAATTTTTAAAAGTAAATCCTTTTTAATTTTCCATAATCTTTGTAAGTAGCAACATTTTGTAACCGGATTAGTAGTTTAGGGGCTATCAAGAAGTTTATTTACACGTAAACCGAAGATCTAAAAGAACTGTTCTACTTGTTTATATTTTGATGGTAAAATTCCAGAGGTCGGACTTCTTGTCTACTTGTTAGCTTAGAACAATAATCTCAAAAGCACTTTCTTGCTATTCAAAAGTCGAAACAAATTTGATTTTTCAGCGAACAATGATTTTTTTTTTATGGAGGGTATCGTGTTGAACTTTTTTGCTAAATAAACATTTAGTCTGGCTCGTTCCAGACTTTTCAATCAAAGTGGTTGGACACTCATTTGGCACATCCGCTTTCAGCCTGCTCAGGTATGAGTTTAACCTGCTGCAGTAGCCAGAGCGAAGTTCGGCTGTTCACAGGTCTAGAGTCTATACATATAACTCGAGACTGATTCCCTGTGAATGCCGTTCACAGCCTGTCGGTATGTTGACGGGTTCAGAGGCTGCTTAATGAACCCATGGACTTTGTCCGTCAGTTCGTATATATGCCTCCTCTGCAAGCAGCTGTCTGTTTGGGTGGCCTAATCTGTGGCTCCCAACCAGAAAATGCTTGCAGAGCATTATGTTATGCTCCTAGACTGGGAGCATTTTCGCCTCGTCATGAAGGTGGTGTTCTGGCGACATCAGGAGGCATCCAGTCGCTGGCCTGAGTGCGGTGGTTTGTGTTGTCTGTAGCTTCATCCACTGCCTCCTACTAGTCCCCGGCGACCACACTAGTACTGCGTATTTTAAAACCGGCCGGCCTATTGCCTTGTATGTTGCCAGCAACGTTTCTTTGTCTTTGCCCCCAAGTACTGCCGGCTAGCGACTTGAGGACTTTGTTGCGGCTCTGTACTTTATTGACAATAGCGGTTGCGTGCGCAGAGAAGGAGAGCAGGCTGTCGAAGGTTACTCCGAGTATTTTGGGGTTATTCACCGTCGGAATTGTTGTATCATCGACGTGAATTCCCAGCGGTAGCATGACCTCCTTCGTCCAGGTGGTGAACAAGGTCGCAGAGGATTTCTTAGGGGAGAGGGCTAGACACTTTGCAGTGAAGAAGCGAGAAAGCTCGGAGAAGTACCCGTTTACTTTCGAACACAAGTCATCAATTCCATTCCCCGTCGCCATGATCGAGCAGTCGTCGGCGTAAGAGACAATCGAGACTCCCTGTGGTAGTTGGGGAGGTTTGAAATATAAAAGTTGAACAGTAGCGGGGAAAGGACACCACCCTGTGGAACCCCCAGTTTTATTTTCCGGAGATTACTCGATTTGTCTCTAAACATTACCGACGAGTGTCGACCACTGAAATAATTTACCGACCACCGTTTGAGCCTCTGTGGGAGAGAGGAAGCCTCTATATCTTCTAGTAGCGTGGAATGGCTGACAGTGTCAAATGCCTTTGACAAGTCCAACTCTACTAGAATCGTTCTCTCACAGGGACGGTTACGGTTAAAGCCACGAGTTATCTGAGTGCTGTTGTTGTACTGTGCACTTTACGGAAACCATGCTGATGCTTCGCTTGGGTCAGGTGGTTCGTGAAATACGGGAGCAGCAAGTGTCTTCGCTACTGGGGAAAAGAGTGTCATCGGTCGATACGAATCTCCTTTGTTGGCAGGTTTCCCCGGTTTAAGCAGTGGAACCACTCTCCCCACCTTCCAGATGTCTGGGTTGATGAGAGTGGTCATTGACAAATTGAGGACCTCCGTTAGGTACGCGGGTCCGACGAAGCATGGTCACCGAAAGAAATTTTGACTCTGTCGTCGTGCTTCGTCGGATTGGACAGTGACCTCACGGTTGACCAAAGCTTACTCACACCAGAGGTGAAGCTACAGTTCTTCAGATACTCGTCCCACTTCTTCCGCTTATGTACATTCCCTAGTTCCGAACCTCCGCGTTGAGATCCCTGATATGGGGATCTCCGGTATCGGCCTGACGAAGGCTGTCACGCTCATCGGCTAGAACAGCCGCTTCGGCAGGGAAATTTGGACGTGGGCCCGTAATGCATCCTGCCGTTACAAAGCGAACTGCTCCAGCGGTGACAGCCCTGCGGAACTCACCAAGGTGGACGTCGGTTGGTGTGGGGAGAGCAGCGAAGGTGTTTTCAGTACATTCCGCGAAACCTCTCCAATCAGCTTTAGAAAAGTTGATATAGGCCCGGTGTTCAGCGGAAGCAAAGTCGGTTGGTTTATCGATCGAGATGACTATGGGCAGATGGTCTGATGCCAAAGTCAGCATAGTTCGCCATGATGTGCTGTTTATCAGACCAGCGCTGACAATTGTTAGATCTGGCGAGCTGTAGCAGCTGCCCATAATCCTGGTGAGTGCGTCGTCGTTCATTGTGCATCATCGATTATCGATCTTGCTCTGAAGACCGTTACAGTTAAATTGAAGGAGCTTCATGTGGTTCGGGAAACGTGTGGTAATGCGGGGTGTGAGAGATATGTGTGGCCGTGATGCCATTGGGTGTGGCGCTGCTGAGGTGGTGGTGGTGGGTGGCGTCGCAGTTGAGGCTTGCGACCGTGCCGCGCAACACGGGCCCTCGAAGTTCCTCGTCCAATCTCGCGTGGAGCGCAGACCTGAACATGCCCTAAAGTGGCACCAGCCAAGGCAGGCGTTACACTTGACTGGTGTCACATTACGGAATATCCCGGTCTGACATACCGGCAGGTTGTAGGAGGAACCAAGAGTTGTTGCCGGCGGCGCGTGGGTGGTGGTGCGGTTGTGTGTGCTCTGTGGTCTGTCGTAGTTGTGGTGTGGTCTATTGTGTTGTTGTGCTGTGGTGTTTGTGTGGGGCTGCTCAGGTGGACTGGGCTAGCCGTGGAGGCTGCTCTGTTTGAGCAGCAGGGGACCACAAACGACGTGGTCCACTGCCGATGTGTCCGTAATCCTGAGCAGATTCTGAGGTGACTCCACCCCTCGCAAGCATTGCACTTGACTAAGGTGGAGTTGTGGTGTAGTCGTCACTGGCATACACAGCAGGTGTAGGTTTCTGGCCCATGGTTTGACTCGATGCCAGCCCTGAGCAGAAGAAAACGTAGCGAATGTAACCCTATGGACGAACAACTTCTGAGATACTTCGCCGACCTAAACGGGGTTAGATCGCCGAAACAACAGCCCTTGGTCGGGTAAAACCCGAGTCATTCCGGTACGTAAAACCGCCTCTCGTGGGAATGTAGGGTTATTCATCGTCGGAATCGGTGTATCATGGGCGTGAATTCCCAGCGATAGTCTGACCTCCTTCCCGCCATTGCCATTACAGCCGGTTTTACGTACCGGAATGACTCCGGATTTACCCTACCGAGGGCTGTTGTTTCGGCTATCTAACCCCGTTTAGGTCGGCGAAGTATATCATGTAGCGGCACTACTAAGCCCCGCCTGGGTAGGTTTGTCCATCAATCGTTGTCGTCAAGCTCAACTAACGTTTTTTGACAATATACATACATGTGAATCGATCTCGGGAGATTAATTTATTTTTAGAGGATTTTTCCCTGCATCGATTAATTTTATTTCTATTCGAATCGATTGATATCTCTAATAATGTATGTGGATACATATACTCTGGTGACCGATAATTAGAAAACATTTTTTTCTCAAGTTTTGACCATCTATTTGTACTTATTTTTAACATTTTTTTAGGAAAGTATAGTGCCTGCTACAACGAAAACGTAATAACTCAAAGCTTCAAACTTCGTATAAGATATATAATAATGGAATTCCTCGAAATAATTCGGGTATGCAGTTTTGTAGCGCATTCAATTCTAGTATAACAATGTGCAAGTATGAATTAGCTCGAAAAGTTTAAAGCTTCGAATTACATAATTTTTGTTGTAGCATGCACTATATTATCATAAAAAAATATGTTAAAAATAATAAGCACAAATAGATGGTCAAAACTTGAAAACAAAAATAATAATTGGTTTTTAATGAAAAATCACATGTTTAGAAAAATCGTTCAGAAGAGCAGCTAAGATTTGAATCTTGAAGTGATGCTTATAAAAATGGTTCAAAGAATTTTTTTGTTTGGCCACGTGGAAAAAACTTTATCGCTCTTCAAGATCACCGTACGTACATATGTATGTACATATAAATGATTGAATTTAATAAGATTCTCAAATTATTTTTCACGTGAAAAACTTACCTTATTTATCTCGTTCAGAAATAACAAAAAAACAGCTTCTCTTTGCACTTTTGAGCACTATTCAGAATTAAACGCACAATGCGACTTGCAAGGCCAATTTGTTAACCTGGACTCAAAGAAGGGAAGTGTGTGCAAATGCAAAAAGTACAAATAAGCTGGAAAGTAACGGTATACTTCTAGAATTTTATGTATGAGAAGAACTGCTATTTTCTTCTTTGTAGATGTGAATGTTATACACAACCTTTTCTTATTCTGTGAGGTTCAGTTGAGATAACACAATTCCACCATGGATTCAGTCATGAAGGCAATAGAGGGCGACTTCGTTAAAAATCTAAGTACAGTACCTACCGCTAGCAGGTAGCAATTGGGGCGAAGACAAAGAAACATTGTGAGCAACATACAAGTTAACCAATGAAACTAATGTTGGGAGCTAGTGGGATGAAGCGAATTGCTTAGGCAAAATGGTACCAACCTAATTATCCAAGCACACAGCGCGTATAACAAATAAATATATGCATTCAAACTTTTATATTAGAACAAACGGTCCCAAGGGATTGATATTAGCCGCTACAACAACAATAACAAAGGATTGCCTACACACGTTGGACATAATCTCGCTTCTGCCGTTATCAGTGAGTGCCAGCCATCTATTGCACATGTACGGGATTTGTAACATATTTGAATCTTCTAGAGTGATGAAGCTTTAGCATGTTTCTAGATAAGTTTTTAATAGTGTGATATGATACTCTGAACATTGTTGGAACGTATTATATGTTTTAACATTGGAACTACATACATACATAAATTCCTACTCCATAGCTATAAATATAAATCCTACTGTTTATAAATTTACTTGCGTATTTTATGTTGTATGTAAGAATAAGTAATTCTGCATACATAAACTATATACATATCGATGGCCCTCTGCAATAAGGCACAACTCAAAAACCAAAATCCTTAACAGGTAGTAAGGGATTGTTTCTTAATTTTGAGATGTACATTTTAATTAAAATGAAACATTCAATTTTCACAAACTTACCGCTCTCGCGTCCGCTTCGCTCAAAGTTATATTAAACGCTGCATAAAGTTCTCAGAACTGACGCATTTCTGGTTTTATATGCTTGGCAACAAGATACTCAGGACACAATGGCACACAAGATTAAGTAAAACTGGATAAATTCCAATAGTCGGGGGGCTTCTCTGAAAGTTACATATAATAAACGCTGTATAAAGGAAGTTCTCAGAACTAGGGACGCATTTCTGGTTTAATATGCTTGACAACAAGACACTCAGGACACAGTGGCACACAAGATTAAATAAAACTTGATAATACGGAATTTGGTTCAACTAATCGCCTGTGAAAGTTGAATAATGTAAATTCCCTATAAATTCCAATAGTCGGTCGACTATTGAAAGCGTTTCCAAAACAAAGCTTATCACTTAACCACAACTAGTGATAAAAGGAAATGTTTTTAATGAAATTTACACAAAGATTCCTATAACCACAAGCACGGCAGAGGTGGTTTACTGTTTTCTACAAATAATTAAAAAATGTGTAGAAAAATTGAATTGTTGAATGAACTGCTGAATAACGGGAAAATAAAACTTGCTATTTTTTCATCCAATTTGCTTACGGTGCGATTGTTTTGTTTTGCTGCACAGCGTCCTATATTCCGCGCAGTGTTGCATTTGATTATCCAAAGGAAATTACATTTGGTTGCTTTTGGGATTTTTTACAGAAATATGTGGGTTACCCGTCATTGAAAAGAACGTAAATATCATGATACAAATACTTAATTATTCGTATTCGTCATAATGGTTATTTATTGAATTGCTGTGTAGTATCTATGTACATTAGACTGCATCACCAAAAAAATTGCGGCTTTTCTGCCGGGACTACAAAATTGATTATATTTTAAGACGTCCACCAAAACATTTTGGAAATATATTAAAATTTACGTGAGCAGGACCGATTTGCAAATACCTCCAAAAATGGAGATTTTTATGAATATAAAAATAGTTTCTTCGAAAATAATTTGAAAAAAATCCCCTCAGTTGACAAAACAGATTAAGCTTAAAAAATCTTTAAAAACCTTTTCAACTGAATCGTAATAATGAGATTTATGATGCTATTTTTTTAGACTTGTGAGACTTTTTATTTTGGTTTTTTTTGAAATCTTTAAGAAACTATTTTCATTCAGTAAAAACTTTCTTTTTGGAGGTACTTTCAAATCGGTCCAGCAAACGTATATATTAATATTTTTTTGAAATAGTTAAGTGGACGTTTTAAAATATAATAGATTTTATAATTCTAATGGAAACACAGTACCGATTTTATTTTTGTTTTTGTATGGGGAGTGAAGAAGTCTAATGTACATACAATAATATAAACCATCCTATTCTAAACAACAAATTCAGAAATGAACAGCATTAGTTCCCTACAAATACATACGTGTACTTATTCTTCAGACAATAGAGAACAAATCGAGTTTATAAATAATACATAGCAGATATGCAACACTAAACTATTCATCTAAAATTTTAGGTAAGAAAACGAATTAAAAAAATCTCTTACAATTGAAATAAAAGTACCGGCAACCCTGACAATTTTGACAATACACCTGTAAGCAAACCATGAACCAAAAATACAAGATCACCTAATCAAAGAAGCAAGAAAAAAGTATATTTCTGAGTGTTTTTGACATCTGCCTAAGAATGAAAACAAACAAAGAAAACGAAAAAGGCGCGGTGATTGAGTGCGATTAAATCGGTATTTATTATAAAATATACAAAGTGAAACTTGATGACAATTAGCAAAAAAAGTTCATAAAATATGGTTTTCATGATTGAAAGTGTTTTACAATCGCATATCATTACCACGGGTCGATTTTTCAATGCCACCGTTCTGGCCACAAACGTGCACCCACTTTTCACGCAAATTTACGCCTTTTGGCAAACCAAACATACGCACAAACTTGTTCCGACCACACAGCACTTTATTTTATATCATAAATATGTAATAAACCAAAATTTATAATTAAAATCGCTGCAGAAAACACATTCAATCGCTATAAAATCACTACGAAGAGGTAGAAGACGATGTAAACAAACCCGAAAAACGTCAAAAACGCTACGAAAACTTTTTTCTGAAAATCGATTACAAATACAACGATGGCTGATTAGGTGATCTGTAGTCGTTGGTTCATGTAAGCAAACGTCAAAAACGCAATAAAGATGCCAGATTGAGTCATTGGCTCTTGTCAGATTATGTTCGGTGTGTGTGTGAGTAACTAGGGGTCTTCATTTAAAGTGATGAACAGTTGATAAACTTGATAAAATGATAAATTTATTATTGTGATAAACGAACAGTCAAGCTTTGTATGGAAATATATTTAACCAAAGTTTATCACTTAATTAAACGTTTTTGGTGGATAAACGTATAAATTTCAGCAAATTCAAATTGCTACGAACACATAAAAGGCAAATAAACACAATGGATGAGTAGAACGAAATGTAACTAGCCAGATAAAATAAATATTATTAAATTTTGGGCAATTATTCATGAAAGAATGCCGATATACAATGCCGGCGAACGGCGAACTCACCACAGCGAAATTCGTGCTGCCAAAATTAAAAAACCTGCACATATGTGAAATTAAACACAATCAAAACGATCGCTCTGTTAGGCGATGACAGCTGTACGTGCCAAAGACGGCGTATTTCCTTTTTGCTTTCAAAGTTTTAGAAGAAAACAACATAAACATGAATTATTTTTTGTTTTTTGATTGTGTTGGATAACAAAAATGAAAATAGTAGAAAAAAGCGAACGATAATTTACAAGGCGTACTTCGCACGGTGCATAGGCAACAGGCTGAGTCAGTGGGATCGTCGGTTCGAATCCTACTGAAAGAAGTCTGATGAGGAAATGTGGTGATTTCCGAAATAGCTATCACTTCTACCATTTTTTTTCAAATTATTGTTGCTTTTCCACAATAAAAATTTTAATTTAAAACGGCCTCGAGCTCAATATAAATAGTTGAATGAATTATTTTTATTATTTGAAAAATATAGTTGTGGATCGACAACATCGTGCGAGTCTATGCAGTGGGACAGAGACCGCCATATGGATAGGCGGGCGAACCCGACTACAGTTCCGGGTCGAGGGCAACCTGGCGCCCTAGACGACCGTAGGCGATTGGGCCTCAGAGGCTCCCAAACGAGGCACTATATCAGGTACCTAGAGCAAGGTAAAACTCCCGAGCAGACGCGGCAATGGGAGCGAGGGCGAAACGACCGCAACCGCAAATGAGTGGAAGAGCGGGCGGCACCAGCGGCAGGGTGCAGAGGTATCCGACAGTCAGCCCGCCCCGCTGAAAAGCGGAAGAGCTGGAAAGCGGAGCGTTGAGCAACCCCGTGATTCGAGCAGAAAGTTTGACAGGCGCGCCGACGAGACCACACCCGGTGAAAAGCGGAAGAGCGGGCATTGTAGTCGGGATGAGAAGCACGGAGACCAGAGGAAAAGGGTAAGTGGTTCCGGTGAGACCGCGCCCACTGCAAAGCGGAGGAGCGGACAATTAACCCCCCAGAATTTAGCTTGAAAGAAGCAGCGTGAGTTTCCACCCCCTCCGGCATCGGGGACCCGGGGGTAGGCACTTGAGGCCAACGTCTGCGCGGGGTGGCAAAGGGCAGACGCACAGCTAAGGGGCATCAGGGTGGCGGTGCTGCCTAGAAACTATCCCGCGGAGGCGCTGAGTCCGGATGAGTTGACTACCCTGCAGGACGCCATAATGGACGAGATGTTCAAAGGGTGGAAGCACCCGCTGGCCTTCTGCGGAGTTTATTTCCGTCCAGGTATGCTCCTTGGTGACTGTAAGGATGAGGGTATGGCAAAATGGCTGGAAGAGTTTGCACCAAAACTAGGGAGCTGGAAGGGAGTTGCACTATGCGTCAAACGGGGTGATGCAATACCAGCCATACATAATATGACTATCTTCCTGCCGAGAAGTGCCGACAGATCGGCAGATTATATGATGGGGCTGCTAAGGGCGCAAAACGAAGGTCATAACACACCAGCGTGGCGCGTCATCTTGAGCAGCATTGAGGATGCTGGCGTGCGGCTAAACGTGGGCATAGATGAGGACTCCTTTATTAGCGTCAGGAGGGCTGAGTATAAGCTGAACTTTAGGTTCAGCTATGTTACAATGGCTACAGCAGTAGAGGACGCACAGGTTTGCCAGCCTGCACCTTCAGCCCAAACTTCTAACCTGCTATGCACCACCCAGCTAGTATCAGCGGCTCTTGCACAGGGGCAGGTCCCCTCAACGCAGGAGCTGATGGAGGGACTAGACCTGAGAGGGCTTGAGCTCGGCGGGAAAAGCGAGAGCGACCTAAGGCTCTCGGACCTCGACGAGCGATGAGGTACCCACCGCCCTTGAGAGTTGCCCAGATCAACCTGCACCATGCAATTGCAGCCTCGGACGTGATTGCTAGCAGGTTTTCTACGGACGATCTGGGCATTATAATCATTCAGGAGCTGTGGACTTACAGAGGCCAGGTAAGGGGCCTCAAAGGAGCAAATAACAAGGTAATATGGAACCTCGCCGCAGAGAGGCCCAGAACATGCGTAGTGCTTAGAAACGATATTGATTATTTCTGCATTAGAGAGTTTTTAACGCAAGATTTGGTAGCAGTGCAGGTGACACTTCGGGTGGATGAAAGGCCCGTGGAATTAGTCTTCGCTGCTGCATATTTCCCCGGAGACAGCAACACCATAGCCGCGGCAGAGGTACAACAACTGGTGGCGCATAGCCGGAAGACCCGACTTCCTCTTATCCTCGGATCCGATGCAAATGCGCACCACGGGGAGTACCAGCACCGATACCAATAAAGGGGGTGAGTCCTTATTAGAGTACCTACTAAGCGAAGATATGTGTATAACCAAAGTTGGACATTGTTCGACGTCCGGCACCTATACAAACAGCAAAGATGAGGGGGCAACCCTCTGCTTGCAACTGACTTCCCGGAGGCCACTACCTTAGAACAGGGGCCGGAGGTCCGGCGAACTAGACCGCGAATGGACCGTGACTGGAAACTGGCGAGAAGTGGATAATCCCGAGAAGTGGATAATCCCGAGCTTTCCTTCTACACACTCTACAAGTTAGAATATGATTGACGAAAAGTCCCAAGAATGGTATACCGACGGATCAAATATGGACGACGAGAGTACTGGGGCAGGCGTATTTGGACCGAAATTCCAGAAAGTCTGTCAATTTACACATAGCCAACTGTATTCCAAGCGAAAGTTTTCGCAATCGAAGTCTGTGTAGAAGGACAAATGGGGCCAAATTAAGTATTATGTCGGATAGTCAGGCAGGTTAAAGGCCTTAGACTCTTTTAGAACAGCGGAAGGCTTGCGGGAAGCTGTACAACATTTTTTACCCCCCCCCCCCCGAAGCTCACAAATTGTACTAGCTGTGTTTTAGTTTTTCAAAATGCTATGTTATCTACATTTGTTATAAACTTGACATTAAATCAATATACTAAATAAGATAAATAAAAATTTGGTAGGTTTTGGTTGATTTTGGTAGGAACTTTTGGTAGGATACAAAATGTGTCCGTGGCAACACTGCAAACAGCTGAGTTGGATAAGCGAAGAGGGGTAAAACACTAAAATTTATATAAATTTGAAGCTTTGTTCTCTTTAATTTGTTCTAGATGGTTATACGAAAAGATAATTTTTATAAATTTTTCCATCACGGTGAACAACAACCACCGCACTGGAAGAGAATTACAAATGTAATGATCAAAAGTACGTACAAAATTGTGATTGTAAAGTAAAAAATATACATACTACCGCAATAGTAAAAAAATCTATGCATGGATGTATGTATGTGTGTACATATATTTTTGTGTATATAACAGATAGCCCCCCCAGGAAAATTTTAAGGTAAAAACCAACCATCATACATGATGCACCTGTCACGAACATGTACATCTTCAAAAAGGTCAAGGCAGATTGCTCAAATGACTTTCCCCCAAGAGTCAAATGAACGTTGTCGAAATTGCCGAAATTTTTTCTGGTCCAGAACTGTCAGCTTAGCAAAGTTTCCAAAAACTTGTAATAATAAGGATATATAACAATAAATATATATTTCTATAAGACAGTCGAATGTCAAGAAAATTAAGCCAGAAAGCTGTTTTATTACTTAACCTATTTATAATTTCACCATGGTTATATAGATAAATATTAATTAAGGGCTTATTTTTTAGTGCCAGTTGAAGCTCAGACCACGTAAACTGTATATATTCTGTACATTATTGAGAATCTTTACTACTTCCAATAACCAATGTGCTCAGCAAAATGGCAATCCTATCATTCAGCAATTCAGAAATGGGTTATTGTAGAAATGCTGGTATTGCATATTTCACGGGGCAGAATGGGAAACGGACGTCAAAGTTGCCAATGAACTTAATTTCTGGCAGCAAAAGTTGTGTTGCTAGAATTCAAAAATTAATTAAAAAAATAAACATTAGCATAAAGTTATAATAATGATGCTAACATAAGAAACAAAAATATAAAAATAATTAAATATACATTTTGTGTTGTTTATAATATAAACAGAATGATGGTGTTTACACCACTAAGGTTTTATCAAATGTATAGGACAAATAATTTTGAGCAGTGAACAAACTCTTAGGACCTGAAAACCTATAAAAACGCAAAATATGCACTAAAAATCGCAAACAAGGTAAGAAACATAGGCAGCTAAAACAAAAAATATGCAAAAAAGGATTTTTTTTTTAAATAATTTGTTAACAAAAATATATCGTCACTATACTTGAATAAAGTCGCGCTAGTGTTTTAACGGCAAAAAAAAACGTGTAAAAAATGGAAGAAAAATGACGCTTAAATATAGATTATTACCTGGCCAAGGACTGTCAGTTCAGCATCATTCCCCAAAAACTCTTTGGCGAATTCACATACTGTTACAGCCGCAAACATAGTTGACCGCGAAAATAAATTTACGAATCTTTCTTCGGCGTCAAATATCGTCGTTTAAAGTAAAAAACCGCGTATCGTCATTATGCAAAACCGCGTAACTGACATTGGCTGCCAAAAATTGAATTTGCTCACATAAACTCTTTGCTTAAACCTTATCCATTCGTCCTGAAATACTTATACTAGCCAGAAATGCGATTGCTTTATAAAAAAGAGAACCATTTTGAAATATGAGTGTTTTTACGCTCTAGAAAATAATTTCTACAACTTCACATACGCGGTTATGCATTTTGCTGATACGCGGTTATGCACTTTAAACGACGATATGTAGATTAACGCGTCCTTCGCGATGAACTAAGAGTCTTCGGGCAACTTTTGAGCTCACGTCTAGTGACGATATAAACTAGTAGTTTCATTATATGAAATTGCTTAAATTTATCAGTTTATCCGCATTCTTTTATGAACGCACCTTGGTAAATACTTGCACAAAATGGTTTATTATTTAACTTATCTGGCTAGTTACGTTTCATCCCTACCTCGTCCATTGTGCTAATTTGCTTTTTATGTGTCTGTAGCATAATCGACCACCTGGCAGTCTGTCAGGGTTGAATTTTGCTGAAATTTATACTTTTATCCACCAAAGTCGTTTGATAAAGTGATACACTTTTTTTTAAATAGATTTCCATACAAAGTTTGGATGTTGATTTATCAAAATGATAAATTTATCATTTTATTAAGTTGATCAACAGTGTATCACTTTTGATGAAGACCCCTACTTTCATTGAACCTGTAACTGAGTATTTTCTTCGTACGAGTTTTGAATTTATAAAATTTTACTCTCTACAGTTATAAGATGCATTTTGAAGTCATCAGGTAAGGTCTTCAATCGTTTATCGCAGCGAATAGCCTTTGGTGCCTAAGTTAAATACGGAATAGCTTGTAGAAAAGTAAAAAATAAATATTTAGTACGTACGTGCGCTGGGTAATTTAATTTGCTGGCCGGCTGCTTGTTATCTATTAATTTTTCGCTGCCCGGCGAAACATCAAATGTGCTTACTTGCAATCGGGAAAGCAAGGTAAATCGTGTTAATTTAATCGAAACTACCCGATCACTTAGCACACAAAAATGCAACTTCCATAAAATTCATTCCCTACCTAGTACAATAATATTAAGTAAAAATAAAACTTGTATTACTCAAGCCTACGTTCCATAACTAAAACAAGTAATTTTTAAGCAAAAGTAGAAACCGACTTCAATTCTCATATTTCATATAAAAAGAAATATATATACATATATATATTTCTTTTTATATATATATTTCTTTTTATATATATATATTTCATGATCCAATGATCGGGTCTAAACCAGATTAGTATGGGACCACCTCTGGGACACTACCTTTCCGATGCAAAAATGATCGAATTATCGAAATCGGTTGACGTGATCCAAAGTTATGCGGTAACATACATACATAAAAAAAAAATATATATATATTCCGACGAACTGATAACCTCCTCCTTTTGTGGAAGTCGGTTAAAAATAACGGTCGTCAAACCTATACCGACCATGACACAGCATTTCTGTTTCGATTTTTTGCCATTTTTCAAGAGATTTCTTAAATACTTAGCAGTCATTGATAAATATTGTCTGTAGACTATGTATTTAAGTAAACGGGAGGTGCCCGACGTTTTCTCCTTTTTCAGCCTTAAACTATGCTATACAATTCTACTATGAACACTTTCAGAGATAAGCCGTATGAAAAGTTCGATATGTTTGGGAGGTGCTACGCCCCCTTTTCCAATAGCTCAAATTTTTCTCCAAGAGATTGCGATTGATTTCGTATATCTCCATACCAAGTTCCAGAACTCCACCATGAACACTTCCAGAGATATGCAGTTTGGAAAATTCGATTTGTATGGTTATATAACGGGTGATTTTTTAAGAGCTTGATAACTTTTTTTTTAAAAAAAACGCATAAAATTTGCAAAATCTCATCGGTTCTTTATTTGAAACGTTAGATTGGTCCATGACATTTACTTTTTGAAGATAATTTCATTTAAATGTTGACCGCGGCTGCGTCTTAGGTGGTCCATTCGGAAAGTCCAATTTTGGGCAACTTTTTCGAGCATTTCGGCCGGAATAGCCCGAATTTCTTCGGAAATGTTGTCTTCCAAAGCTGGAATAGTTGCTGGCTTATTTCTGTAGACTTTAGACTTGACGTAGCCCCACAAAAAATAGTCTAAAGGCGTCAAATCGCATGATCTTGGTGGCCAACTTACCGGTCCATTTCTTGAGATGAATTGTTCTCCGAAGTTTTCCCTCAAAATGGCCATAGAATCGCGAGCTGTGTGGCATGTAGCGCCATCTTGTTGAAACCACATGTCAACCAAGTTCAGTTCTTCCATTTTTTGGCAACAAAAAGTTTGTTAGCATCGAACGATAGCGATCGCCATTCACCGTAACGTTGCGTCCAACAGCATCTTTGAAAAAATACGGTCCAATGATTCCACCAGCGTACAAACCACACCAAACAGTGCATTTTTCGGGATGCATGGGCAGTTCTTGAACGGCTTCTGGTTGCTCTTCACTCCAAATGCGGCAATTTTGCTTATTTACGAAGCCATTCAACCAGAAATGAGCCTCATCGCTGAACAAAATTTGTCGATAAAAAAGCGGATTTTCTGCCAACTTTTCTAGGGCCCATTCACTGAAAATTCGACGTTGTGGCAGATCGTTCGGCTTCAGTTCTTGCACGAGCTGTATTTTATACGGTTTTACACCAAGATCTTTGCGTAAAATCTTCCATGTGGTCGAATAACACAAACCCAATTGCTGCGAACGGCGACGAATCGACATTTCACGGTCTTCAGCAACACTCTCAGAAACAGACGCAATATTCTCTTCTGTACGCACTGTACGCATTCGTGTGGTTGGTTTAATGTCCAATAAAGTAAACTGAGTGCGAAACTTGGTCACAATCGCATTAATTGTTTGCTCACTTGGTCGATTATGTAGACCATAAATCGGACGCGCGAAACACATTTCGAACCGAACACTGATTTTGGTAATAAAATTCAATGATTTGCAAGCGTTGCTCGTTAGTAAGTCTATTCATGATGAAATTTCAAAGCATACTGAGCATCTTTCTCTTTGACACCATGTCTGAAATCCCACGTGATCTGTCAAATACTAATGCATGAAAATCCTAACCTCAAAAAAATCACCCGTTAGTATATATAACCATCCTTGGAACGCGTGCGGCAGGTGTACGAGCTTTGCGAACACAAAAAAGCGCCGTTTTTTGGCACTTTAATTTGGCCGTACCTGAATTTTCGTTCCTACACACATACTTACAAATTCATTGCCATTTTCGAAAAAACACTAAAAATAGGGCTTTTAAAGCGCAAGATTTAACAGCACAAGGATAATAAAGAAAAGCGATTGTACTTATGTAAGTTAATAGAAAAGTAAAATACAGCTATGCCTCCTGGCCAGTTTTTTTTTATATTTTTTCAAAAATAGGCAGCTTTTCCAATATTTTAGAACAAGGTATGTCGCATGCCCCCATTATTAACAGAACATAAATGAAATGAAACCAGCTTCTGCTAATTGGGAATCGGCACGATCATTAATTCAAACAAAAGTGTTATATTTTACACTTACAAAGGAGTAGCAAATTTAATAAAATTTAAAAAAGCTATATTTTTGCATTAAAACCAGGAAATTTGAAGGCAAACCGGGACATTTCAAGGTTGGCCCGGACACCGGGCCCAACAGTCTACAACCGGGACATATCCCGGAAAACCGGGACGTACGGCAGCCCTATTCAAACATCGTAGGGGCACAAATATGTAAATATGTACATATATATGTATGTATTGTGGCGAATACTGCGGCAACACAAAGCGAACAACGAGAAATAGGCA